CAGTTTTTTCTCACAGAGCACACACTTTAGACACGTGGGCTTCCTCATTCCTTGTCTGGTCCTTTGGTTCACCTGGACAGAAAGGAATAGTGCGAAGCATAGGGATACTACTTTTATGTTTTCTCACATTGTTTTGCAGGTAGAGAGACACATTTCACTCCTCATCGCATTGGGCAGACTCACGGCCCGAGACTGGAAAGGCTGCACGCCACCGCATCGCTACATGGTGGCCCCACCACCGCCTGTTCGGCCTCCTCGGGCCAGAGCTGTTGTTTGGCTTCGACCTGACTCTCCGTGGGTCAAGCTGAACACTGATGGCTCCTTTGATCGCCACACTAGACTTGCCGGAGGAGGAGGCTTGATCCGGGACCATAGCGGCGCCCTCATCACTGCCTTCTACGCATCCATTCAGGCCTCCTCGAGCTACGATGCAGAGATTCAAGCACTACATATTGGCCTTCAGATTGCTGTCCACCTCTCTGGTCATATATGGATCGAGCTGGATGCTGCGGCTGTCGCCACCCTCCTGACTTCGGGCCATCAGGGCTCGTGGCAGATTCAGCACCCGCTTATGCGCATTAGAGATCTACTTCGGTCAGTCCATCACAGGATCACACACATTTTCCGTGAGGGGAACAGACCGGCGGATTACCTGGCCAGCCTTGGCGCCACCATACCAGGCACACATACATTCCAGACTGACACTGCTCCACTCCGCCTTCGCACCCTTGTACGGATGGACCAGCTTGGATATCCAGCGTTTCGCTTTCACTAGTTTAGGATTTCTGTTTTCATTAGTATAGACATTTATTTCGGGCATCTGTTAACCCGAAGATCGGCTTTGTTTTGTAGGTTTTGTTTCTTTTTCGTTTTTCACTTTTCTTTTTTGTTCTTCTTTTGGTTTTGATTTTGCTTGTGAGACTCCATAGACTTTTGTATCTTGTTCGCTGACATTTTGGGCTCCCGTTGTTGGGGCCCTGATCTATGCACAGGTTGGGGATCCAGCCCAATCCCCCGCCCTTCCGGGGCGTTGTTTGAAAAAAAAAAAA